TAATCCTTTGTGTTCACATTATCGCCTCATATTAGCAATGCTTCGCTTTTCCTTTCAGCTTTGTACTTCTATCCATACCTAAAGGTTCCATCTTGAAATGGTGGTTGGGCTTGGGTGCTGCAGTGATTCAGCGGGCTACACTAGCTGGAACTTCGTTCTGCAAGGTGTGACCATGCCTGGAAGAGCAAAGTGGGGTTGTCGGACCAAGAGCTTCATACCAAGGCTTCATACTACGAGTAATCGTGATACACGTCGCACTGACCCTTGCGATAGGGGTGGAGGCAGTGAGATGCGTCCAGTCGACCAGCATGTTCATATTCATGGAAGCAGCGATGCTGTCTCCCTCAGAGGAAGGACGGGTTAGAAAAGGTCGACCATAAAAACCACACTTTGACCGGGGTCTAGATGGCTCGAGTGGTTAAGGCGCGAATTTACTGACCAGAAGTCCATGGTTTGAACCCGACCTCTGCCTCTTGACTCCCCCTAACTAGGTTTGGGCAACCTGACATTATCCCAGCCTTCGTGCTTCCTTTGGGTGGCATGACAGCTAGGCACCGGAAGGGTGCCACAGCTGAACGATTTATTTACTTCCTATACTTCGGGTGCCCAACGGTTGACCGTGACGGCCGGCGCATTATTCAGTGCTGCTCAAAAGGCACCTGCTGTGCGCAGCTGCGTCGGGAGTGAGACAGTAGTGCATTACTCCCTGCTCCCTCGGGTCAAGTCAACGCTCTGAGGCGAGCAGGTCAGACTGTTAAGCCTTCGGCTTCGGGAAGAGTTCTCAGAGAAAACCATACTGCTCACTGCATCGTGGGTCATACTTTTGAGTCAGAGGCTAGAGGCAGGGCCCCCGAACAAAACCCTACACCTCCCCACTGCCTTTTGGATCAGACTTTTGAGTCAAAGACTCAAGATAGAGTACATCAACCTAACCCCCTTCCTAGGCCTGGGAAACCGGGGAGTGCCGTTTGTTCGCACAGTTCTGCGTCCATCGATGTCCTTGCCTAGCTCCCTCCCATCACACAAACAGGGCCATTTCACTATCACTAATCTGCCCGATGCTCCTTATGCACCCCGCCGCTTTGATAAGTCTCTCGTGACCTATCCAACACAGCTTGTTGGCGCGATATGGAGTGAAGGGAAGATGCCTGCAGAATGGGGCATGTCGACATTTATTCCTATATTCAAAGAGGGTAGGCGGACGCTGTGTGAAAAGCACCGTGGCATCAGCCAGGTAGCTGTGGTATCAAAGATGCTCTCAATTTTTATCCTTCGAAGGTTGACCGAAACTAGAGAGAGAAGGTTCCAAGCTGAATTCCCTCATATTTTCATATTTTCGCTCCTTGTCACATTCTGGAACAGCGGCACTGCTTCCAGCGAACAAAATTTAATCGTTCAGCTGAAACACCCTTTTGGTGCCCAGGTGTCATGCCACCGGAATACAATAAGTCCCTTGTATTCTCATGCTTCCGAGCGTGTGGTAGTTTATGGAAAGCTCTCTACAGGCTTGCGTACACAAACAGGCTTGCTTTTCAGGTGTGTCTACTCTCTCAATTTTCATTTAATTTTGTGATCCATGAAATAACCAGACGAACGCTGGAAGGTTTTGAAAAAAAGCGTTCAGCTGTAGCACCCTTCTGGTGCCTAGCTGCCATGCCATCCGAAGGAAGCACTAGGGCTGAGATACTACCAGGTTGCCCAAGCCTAGACAGGGGAAGTCGAGTGGCGGAGGTCGTATTCGAACCACGGACCTTCCGGTCAGTAAATTTGCGCTCTAACCACTTGGGCCATCTCTTGAAAGCCTGCTGCTGACGAAAACCTTGTCGATCTTGACTATGCAAAGGAGAAGGCGCAGGTGTTTTCGGATGAGCTGACCTAAGTTATCCTATCTTTGTACTCACAGAATGTAAGGTCATGCTCATGGACACGCAGTCACTGAAATCGTGGGGCCTTACGGGCATCTTGGATGTTGTTTTATTTTCTATTGTATCTGATGCACGGTTCTCTATGGCTCGGGTCACGTGTGTTAATTTGAGACATTTTTGGAGACAAAGTGGCATATCCATGAATATCAAGGGACGTGTGCATCAAACTACAGCACGGGTCGTGTTTTATGACTGCGACGTGGTCTATTCAGGTAGCTGAACTGAGACGTCTTCATGTCTTCGACCATCATAGCTCGAGTAGGCTGGTGTCGGTGAGCGCGTAACGAGGCAGCTAGAAAGTGAGTGTTTGGTTGTGCAATGGAAACCACCGAAGAATGTGTCCAGCACCAGAAGCTGTATTGGTTAAGCGATGTACTACGCATGCCGAAGTGAATGCTGTCCTCAGTGTCTAATTCAGACCGGTGGAAGCAGAAAGATGACTAATCACTGACTTGACGTAGATGTTAGAGATCACGAAAACTTTGATCTGCCGGCTCAACTCGCCTTGGGAACTGCGTGATCCCCACGATCTGGTTGGAGACACTGCAAGATATAGCTTCTATTCGATGCCAGTGGCGCTCTTGTTGTCACTTTCCATCTGGGTTCCTTGAATAAGTGCCTAGAGGCGTAAGCACCTCAGAATGATTGTGGAAGGCTAGCACTTAGACCCTTCACCACCCGCTTTTCTTCACGATAAGGTTGCCTAAGTCTAGACAGGGGAAGTCGAGAGGCCGAGGTCGGACCCACGGACCCTTCGGTAAGTGAATTCGCGTTCTTGCCACTGAGTCTTCCCGCCCCCTTCAGCAACCAAATTTGGTTATCTTCCTTGACTTGAAAACTGCCTTTGACTCTGTGGTCCGTCGGGCACTATGACTGTTTGTGGAGCAAAGATGTCCCCCATAAATTCTTGACTCTCCTTAAGGCGCTGTATGCCATCTTCGTAGATAGGCGTGTCGGGTAAGGCTGTCGTCTTTCACCTTTCCTTTTCAACTTCTCTATTGGTATGCTTATGGAAGACTCACTACCAGCCTCTAATGCGTGATCGGTCGGAGTGCTTCCGGGGCATTCACTTTCAGATATCGAGAATGCAGGTGACATAGTTCTTGGATCTGACCCCATCGTGATGCAGACAACAACAAATGTTCTAAATAGTTCTACTTCACGGTTTGGCATGTGCTTCACACGTGCAAGGTGTAAAGTGCTGCTGTAAGACTGGGTTGTCTCGAACCCTAATCGCATACTTGCGGATTAGCCCATTGGGGTAGGTGACAAGTTTGTGTACCTGAGCAACTGTATTAGTCCCTGTGGTTCCGCGACAGATGATATTCTCATTTATATTGGGAAGGCGAGAGCAGCTTTCGTGAACCTGCATTACTTGCGGCGTAGGCTTGACTCCAGCTCATCCGTCACGAGTCGAGTTTACAATGTAGTGCACTCCATATTATTATATAGGCCAGAAACCCGACCACTGCGTGACAGGGAAGCCAAAATACTTACAGTGTTTGACAATCAATTTCTTCGAAGCATTTTCCGAGTCTGGTGAGAACACCGGATCAGTAATGCTGAAGTACGTCGGATGGCTTCCGAAGAGATAACTCGCCCGCCATAGATGAACTGACCACACCATAAGTCACGCGGGCTATCAGGTGATCCGTATGCCAGTCGGCCGAATTCCTCGAAGGGCTTTTCCTGACAACCACGCGAAGGCCAGAAACGAGCCAAGGGGGCTCAAACAATGAAGTATGTAAGCCATTACTAGAACTCAGTTGCATTGGTCACGTCGATGGTTTGAAGTATTTTCAGACATTACCCTGTCGCGCCCTGAGGAGCGCTCGTGCATCGAAGCTATCGCCTTCAGTTCATAGCTCCATTCTAAATCTTCACAATTAAAAGTCCACTGATAATCCTGTATTTACCTATTCTTTATGCCAGTCACAGCCTTTAACGCGTAGCTACCTACCCCACCTCCCCAAATCATCGGCGAACGAAAGTTTGGCAGCTATAGCCTCTGCAGGACCAGTGCGTGGTTGTTACACTGATGATGATATGCACGTCTATTCCTAGACAATCAACGCGCTGTTTGTTCTATGCAACTCTGTCCTTTTCTAGCGCTGTCAAGATCTAGTCTCCACCCGTAACCGTGTCCTTGCAGATCGAGAAGCTTGATAAAGCTTGGCCGAAGAAATTGAAGCTGAGAAGTGCTGGAAACATCCACAGGCTGTTTCACCTGATCCGATCGGCTGGTCCTCGAACATATCAGAGACCAGAATGGCTCTTTGACATCCAGAAAATGAGAACCTTTAGACCGTTGGCCACATTAATTCAAAAATAATTCATTTGGCCGCGTTACTTCGAACAGCAATTCATTTGGCCACCTGTTACCTGAAGTGCGGAATCCTGGCCTACACCAGAAAGTTGGGCTGTACAGTTGCGTATCTGTATTCAAGCATCGGCATGCTTCCGGTCCTAACGGCATTCCACCTGCTCTGTTTAAGGATAGCCGTGAATTCCCTAGCCAGTGTCTGTTTAGCCTGGAGAAAGAGACCGTCCCAGACAAGTCGTTTTGGAACAGTTCGAGAGCAGTGCGGATTGTTCGGGGAACACCAGAATTCAGAACGCTTGAAATAGCTCGAGCTCGTGATAGCTCAGCTGACTTGAAGGTTCATGATCCGAACCTTATCTCTGGCCTTTCAGTTGACCCTATCTGGAATTGCGCAACCGGGTAGTATCTCAGTCCTGGCACTTCATTCGAGTTTAACGGTAGCTATGTACCGAAAGGGTACAACAGCTGAATGGTTGTTCTCTTTATACTGCCAACTATACTGATACATTTCGAGGTAGTATGTTAACGATGGGGATTAATTCCTACATTCAGTATGTATGACGTTAATCATGTAATAGCTTGGCTGCAACTCAAGCTAATGTACTTCTGCTTTCTATTTCAGCTGTTCATCTGACGACTTGTGTAATTGCTTTTTGTGGGGATGAAGGCAGACAAACTAGTACATGGATTTTTACTGAAAAGGGTGTGTTTCGCTGCAACTTCTATGGATGGTTCATGTATTTTTTAGTCCTTCGAAGTCCCAGAGTTTCGTCTTCTGGTTGCGGAACTCCTTCATGAGAAGACTGGAGCGAAGTATTATCACTTGAGACGGGATGATTCTAATAAGACCTACAGGTAAACGTACTTATCTAGTCACTATAGTCCTCTGAAGCGTTCAGTTTCGAACCACACCTCGTGACAATTCAGGTGTTTCACATATCCTGGAGCACACGGTCCTCTGTGGTTCTCGGAAATACCCGGTGCGAGATCCCTTTTTCAAGATGCTTCATCGAAGCCAGGCAAGCTTCATGAATGCCCTTACGGGTAGGCATTATTTAACTCGAGCAATAAACCATCGTGCTAGCAAACGACTGGACAATGTATCCTTTCTCCACAATGAATGACAAGGACTTTCAAAACCTACTATCTGTCTACACAGATGCTGTTTTCAACCCCAAGTTAAACGAGCTGGACTTTATGTATTTTCTATTCTTATGATAACACTTTACCTCCAGGCAAGAAGGATGGCGACTGGAACCCAAGGATTTGATGAATCCATCTTCAGAACTGACAATAAAGGGGGTTGTGTTCAATGAAATGAAAGGAGTGTTTGTGAGTTGTTTACTCATTTGTCCTCTTTTCGTTCGTCCCTTTGGCGCTTTTATTGTCATCTGTTATGGAGGTGTATTTTTTGTCTAATTGGTTCGCACCTTATTACTAATATTTAACTGGGGACGCTTGATCGTTTGTTGAGTGCCTTATGGACACATAGACACTCAAACTTTGTGTCCGCATTAGTTCCTCGTCTATCGTCGTTTGATTTTCTGGGTTAGTCCATACCAAGGGGGAAGAACTAGCGTCGTTATTTTTAGTCCATCAGTAATAGATAGTTTTGGCTGTCTCAGGTTTCACACTCGAGACGAGCACGTCGCAGTTCAACAGTACAGGTTGGGCACAAACGTTTTATTCATTCTAGACGCGTGATATGTATACACTGTCTTGCACCTCGAACGATGACTTAACATTCGCTGTTTGATAGACTATCCATCTAATGATGGAGTCCGAAGTGTTCTCACCGATCTCAAAGTAAACTTGGATACAGTGGCCTATTCACTGACTTACGAAGGATGTTTCAGTATTGCACCGAACATGATGCCAGTTGGTAATCTCACCTTCAAATAGATTCGAATGGGTATGAAGTTTGTAAGCTTTAGGAATGATCCTTAATAATGACTGTCTTATACGATACTTTTTATTTTGGGTAGAATAGCTGCTGAAATTCATGAAATTTAATAATGTCATTTAATAGCAGTTATTGCCACTTTATCACCGTTTGTGATGACGCGCCACAGAGCGTATTAGGATTTGGTAAGATCAGAATTTCCCAAGAATGAAGTCCAAATTATACTGTCGAGGGTCATAATACGATACTTAAAAAATTTCAAGCAAGTTGACCGACCGGCCTACTCGAATACATATTCTACATCTACGTCTACATCATCCCAGTCGTGGGTGATGAGCTACGAGGTAATTACATGGTTTTCATTTTTCTGGGAATTTTGTTTGTTGCCCAATGATGCTCCTCATATGTTAGCCACGCTCCCTTCATTTTTTCTCCCCCTCACGCAGTCGAATTCTCTCAACCGCTTTGGTCAAGCAGTTCAAAACAACCTGTTTCCACATACATATGGATTCGTAAGTGGTGGTCATCCAGAGAGCATACCGTCCCTCACCTGGGATGCTTTGAAAGCGTTCCACAGCTCCTGTTACCATCCCAGTAATGCTCTGTAAGTAGTCTAGTATCGTTTCACTGCGAAAGGATATGTTCAGTTTGGTTAATCTATGCGTTATTATGACACCGTGTAATGGCCACGGATAACTAAATTGTGACTATGCATCTACCCTCATGAAAACGCTTGAACCCAAACGAGTCTACTGGGATCTATATTTTTCGTACCCATATACATTCAACCTTTCAGTTCATCACAGAACACGTTAAAAGCACGAACTTGTTGCTTTTGTGAAAGTATTTTACGTACTGCCTAAAGGAGGCTCGTCCATTGAGAAGACCCCTCTGGAGAGACCGCTGAAGCTTTACACATCATCCAGATTTTAGGTAACTGTAACTGAGGAGGCACCCCTCTCAGAAGAGATTATAAATAGATTCTCCCCATGATGTTGTCCTTTCAGGACAAGGGATTATCGTGTGAACTTTTTAATCAAACTATCAATGAGGTCTACTTAAGAGCTTCCGATTTGTGTGAGCATCCAGTTACTCTTGTCCATTTTGATTCGTATGTTGTGCAAACTATTTATGGCAACATTCTTATTACTTTTATCAGTGCCTGTAACCCATTTTGTCGTACCCATTCGAACCCACGCTTTTGCCTAATTATTCCGGGCTACATTTCACTTGACCGCTACCTTCTGGACAGTCCGTCCTAGCGAGCATTGAATCGCATTAGGTCAGTGTTCACAACAGTTCACGTTGTACCTTGGCAAAGATAGCTTAGTGGTATAAGCGCGAATTTACCGACCGGAAGATCCGTGGTCCGAACCCAACTTCAGTATCTTCAAAAGATAGCTAGTGGTATAAGCGCGAATTTACCGACCGGAAGATCCGTGGTCCGAACCCAACTTCAGTATCTTCACTGTTCCTGTCTAGCCTTGGGCAACCGGGTAATATCTTAGCCTTCGTGTTTTCTTCCTGTATCAGCTTGGTTTACAAGTGTGACACGTTACTTGATTTACCCCTCCAAGTACCACCGCACCCAGCACTTGCTGGCCATCACTTGGGAAAAACCATCTGACTAGTATGGTACTTCTATAGGCGATATTCACCAGATCTGTTTTTGTTGATGCTGAAGCAAATGAATCCTATCGTAGGATAAGTAATTAGTCCTCGACCGAATGGAGCACTTCATCACGATCGGTCGTCTACTGGTTTTTCTGATTCGAGACAATGTTTCAAATTATACTACACCTAGCTACTTATAAGTAGCAGATGGTGGTATATACTATTCGACAGGGACAACTTGAGTGGCTAAGCCAAAGAATCGAGTTGTTGGACCAAACACCATTTTATTTGAGACCCAGTCCGAATATGATGTATTATGATAGTTTTTCAGCCTGTTGTATACTCTGTCGTCAGGTCTCTTTTCCTTGGTTTAGTTCAGCTGTAGAACCCTTTCGGTGCCTAACTGCCATGCCACCACAAAAAAAACGTTCACCTGTAACACCCTTCGGTGCCTAGCTACCATGCAACCAGAGGGAGGTACGAGGGCTGAGATATTGCCAGATTGCCCAAGCCCAGACAGAAGTCGAGAGGCAGAATTGGGTTCAAACCACGAACCTTCCGGTTAGTAAATTCGCGTTCCAACCACTTGGACCGTCTCGCCGCGGTCTAACCACTACTACTTCGGTACGGTATCGGTGGGCCCTTTATGTGTAGACTGATGGAGCGATGACAGAGAGATAGGTGTCGAATTCCTTCCGGCGTTCTAATTGATGGATGTCGTGGACACTTGCATGTTAGTAGTCGGGGTTTTTTTCAGTCCCGGAGAGAGTATCGGGCACCTAGACAAGACCACACGTAAATAAAGCGCATCCGGTCATTCTCTCACCATGTGGCACCATTGATTAGTCGCAGAGTGGAGTGCGTCTTGCAGTGCCAGTACGCATAGCGTTTCCTGTTATTGGGAGATAAGTGGATAGGTAATTTGGAAGCAAGAATGTCAATGTGACTCAAACATGAAATGAATCACACCTACACTCACTATTTCAGTAGTTAATGTTTCCGAATCTATAACCCCTGTTTCCTCTTATCGTTGAATCTCCTGGAGAAATTCCCTCCCGTTTGAAAGCCATTGAGGTCATGTCCCTTTGTGACTGGTTTCCCTCCAGAGTACTCACCTTTTATTATGCCGTTCCGAAACTACGCCCCCAAATTGTTTGATCACAGGATCATACGAAAACACGGTTGCACTCTTACAAAACTCCCCACGTACGAAAGCTATTCCAGAGGAAAATTTACCTTCGACAAAATGGCCTTGTGACGGAGTGTTTCATTTATTTTCTTTATTACTTGTTTTATTATTGTTTCTTTATTACCTTCCCTATCCATTTTGGAGATGGGTATTTCTTCGGGGGGAGGTTGATTTTAGGTTGATATTCAAAAAACTGTAAGCATAACATTGGTCTGGATTCTTCTGGTTGACTGCTTTTTTCCCTCCCCAGTTTCTACACTTACGGTGACGCCAACCTGGATTGGTGTTTGGAGTTTTTGGATAATGAATACTTACGACACTATGATGCCATCAAGTTAGATAATAAGGTTCAATTGGAACCTGCGTGGATAGAACCGGTAAGCCACAGCGCTGTCTCAATTCACTTTTCGATTTTCACTATCTTTCAACGCGACTCTATCAGATGGTTGTTAGCACGTTCGGAAAGTTAACGCCTTTCAGCCATAGGTGTTCAGTGTCATCGGACACCCAACGGGGAAGTCTGGATGATCTAACCCTGTCCAAACCTGGAAGTAAACTGTTCACCCTGTATTAACACCTTATCGGTTGACCACTTCACTTCTTTCCAACTTTTACTAACTACCATGAACATTCATTGATGCGGTATTCTGTTGTCTGTCATACAAATAACACTGAAATGAAAGCAGGGGTATTGGGACCTAGTCATGACTTTTCGGCAAACCTCATTGTTAATTCAACGACGCTTCCACCAGGTACAAGCAGTACCGACTTCCAAAAATAGTTTATGCATATCAGTGGATGGAAGAAGTATGTTTCCACAAGTACATAAGAATAATTTGAGTTTTGTTGTGTTTTGAGAGCTTCGTTCTGGGTGCTTTGATTGGGAGCCTCTTCTGGCCGAAACCAATGAACTTTTAATTCGACGAATGACAGCCTTGAATTCGATGTCAGCAGCACAACTTCATCTGTGAAGTGTCCACCATTAGTGATACAACTGCCGCAGTACATGAGACTATATATTACCTTAGGGAAAGTGAGTTGGTTATTGCGAAACACGGATATCGAGGGGATACGAAAGCGAAAATACGTTTTTGAGTAAAATTCGAAAAGCCTGCTGATCCGGGGCGTATATCTGAACTCTTCTGTGGGTTGTCGGAATATTTGGCGCTGACGAAGTAACACAGTCGAACAAAACGGTCATTTTCAACTCATCGGCCGGTTGAGAATTCCTCCAGTTTGAACGCATCCATTCCGCGCCTTCCCTTTTCTAACGTCGACGCACATTCTAGTGATCTCCAGTCCTTCCGACTCGCTTGGTTGTTGTGGCATTCAGCGTTTGCTCTGGAGCGTCTTGCTGCTTCCCCAGCTGGTTTCAGTTTAACTACGCTGATCCTCGTACCGTGTGTACGTTTCCTTGACGATTGACAATCAAATCCCCAACTATTGTGACCACAATCCACTACTTCAGGGGTCTCGGTAATCTTTCCAATTAACTTAAGTGTTCGTTGCAACGAACGACCCCATCCAGCACTAATGTTCATTCAAATGACCGAATCCTCTTGTCCGTCGTCTTTTCCTTCTTGCACTTTTTCCAAGTTTTATTTTGCTGTCCTGTCGTCTCATAGCTTTTCCGAGGATAAGTACGCAGTTGACCATGGACGGATTTGTTGATCAGTATGATGGGAGACTTGCTTGTGTTGGGCTTTACAGAAGCCTAGTCTGGTAACGATACTGGTAACAAGTTTGCTTCCCAACCATTTCCTTTGGCTACCAGCCATTCCTTATTGGGCGGATTGTTATATTTCGCGAGGCCATTCGTCAGTGGGTGGTTTTTGGTCTGCCAGAATCTTCTTCGGTACCCGGTGACCCTTTACAGTCTAGTATGATATTGTTCCACTCATCGTGTTCCCCCACTGACTTGGTACGAGTGCCGCCCCATGCTATCACGATTTGTCCCGCTACCATGACCACAACGTACCGATTACTGCTAGCCCTGACTGTAAACGATCTCATGACGTCCGGGGACCAAAGCTCCGTGATTTATAGCACAGCTCTAGATATTGTAGGGAGTAATGTCTCCATGTTTTGTCTCCTGTCAACAGGTTCTAGCACACTTCATTACATTGCTCCTTAGCCCCTGGCCAACAGACTCTTCCTCGAAGTAAACTGCATTCTTTGGTGTCTTCTATGTGCTTTCTCGTGACGTTCGATATCTGGCTACGACGTTCGAATAGCAAGTGTGCTGGCTTCGTTCAGCCGTTGTCTTAAAAGCTTTCAAGTTTTTCACTTCCCACTAGTCAAAGGAGCTACAGTCAGTATGAGGTTTTGCTATTGTAGGTACATCAAATTCTCGGCCTCTTGTTCGACGTTAAGGCTGTTAGAGTGACTTTTGGGGTTTCTTCGTTTTTAGCTTCGATCAGCCATGTTCTCATTCCTCGGTAAATGTTTCGTGAAGTTCACACTTTGGGCGAGTTCTGTTTTAGCTTCATTGATGAAGCCTGTCGCTCAACGCAAGAACCTTCCAAGCTCTGATGACACACCGTCGATTCTGCTGCAATCATCGCCGAAAAATTGCATCCAGCTTCAACAAAGTGCTCCCCATTCAATCGGAAAGCCTCGTCAGGCCATTGAACCATCACATGCTCACATCCTTGCCTCCATAAACCTACTCATTATCTGATGCTCCGTAAGCCGAACTTCGCTACCAGGTTTTTTCGCAGTGATCCCATTCAGTTTTGCGGACCACCTTTAGCTGTATTTAGGGTCACTTTCTATGGACTATTCAGAAGGGATTTCACTGCCGTTTATTCCGGTCGGTCTCTCCTTCACCAGTCTTTGCCACTCTCAGGAAGGACCGGGCATGCTCGTTCCCGGAACCCTGAGGCCATGGGATCCTTATCCTGGCAACGGTGCAAATTGTAAGTGCTGTGCAATGATTGCAGAACACGAACAAAATGACAGAAAACGAAAGCGAAAACAAAAACAAAAATCTCATTTACGCAACCCCCTATGACTCGTGTCTTCCAACTCTTTTGAGTGCTACGTGAATGTTTCATGCCGACGAATGAACAATTGGATGAAAGATAGGTAAATGTTGATCACTAGTACCATTTCTGGTTCATCGCCGGAGGCTGATGACAGATGGTGGTGTTACTCAATGCGGGAGGATTATTCCGCATTGTGAGGTTGGAAGACACTTGAATCGTTCAACCATATTTACTAGTCAGGTTAGCAAGTTTTGTATGGTCTGTATGCTATGCAATGTTCTCTGACAACTACAAACCCTTGACTGATGTCCCTTGGAAGATGTCGACTGTACAAGAACTACAGGTGTCCAATGAAGGATATCATCGACGGCAATGTTGAGAGAGAAGCAGATATCATTGGTGGTGCGAATTGATGACACTTTTCGATAGACCGTCAGCCCTTTGCGAACCGAAAGTCCGAGTGCCATACGTATGCGTAGAAAAAACTGCAACCTTCTGCCACTGGTATATGTTACGATGTAACGGAATCCAGGAACGGGCAGACTTTTGCTCAGCACAACCTCAACCAGAGCATAGACCTGCACGTTCCTCTCGAACGCGCTTTTCACGCCGGTTACACAACATCTGAAGGACAGTTGCAGTCAGTTTTGGCCAACTTCTTTGTGTTACTACCACAACAGATTCTTTTACTGAAAATTGAAGCTATGATGGATTCATCTCAGGGTGAAAGGACCATGGAACAGAGAGGCTTGTTCTTGCACGGGCATTTTGCACCAGCATTTTGTTTTGGGTGGACATGCCTTTTGATCTTCGTCTATTTCAACTTTTGAATTTGCTTCGTAGCACAGGGCTGTCCTCCATTTTGAATAGGATCTCATTTTTGGAATTCACTTCCACGTTGTTTCTCGAAATTTCCCTTGTTTTCAAGTTCCCATAGCCCTTACCAACATCCATCTATCCAACCTCCCATCATTCTCTTCTCATCCCTTATGTATTCTTTACTTAGTTTGATATTTACTGGTGCTTCTCGGTTGTTTTGTGTTTTTGGTCACTTCCAGGGGCTATATGACTCTAGTTTCTTTCTCCATTTGTAAACCGCACTTACCGTTTGTGGGAAAGCCTGAAACTGCCTCTATTGTCGAATTTTTCGTATCCACTTGATGTGTCCACTAAGGATGATTAACTTTGCGTGGATAGGCTTCTCGGGATCCCACGCACCCTGATTGATGTCGTGAAGGAACAGTACCCACAAGGTTTCTGAAAACTCTGGAAGTCCACTACCGGCTCATCAAGTAAGCGTGGCTCCCGAGTTTACGTCAACCTTAGGTTCTTCTTCAACCCTAATTTCGCGAAATGGACTCGCACACTAATTTGGTTTTGATGAAATACTCAGCTGAATCCCAACCGGATCTCTTGTTGATGATATTCCCCAACCGATTCTTTTGCACAGAGGCCGCCTGATGTTTCAGTTCCTACGCCATTTGAAAAATCGTAGTATAATTTCTTGAAGGGATGCTCGTAAAGCTGCTGCGAGTCAGTTTTTAGGACCGTTAAAGTTAAAGGACGGTCGTCTGTCATGGTCCTCACAGAATGAGTTCGTGCATTTTCGGCAGCTATATCCTAGGCTTCCCCAACTCAGCCTCAGGATCTCGACTGTTCCTTTCTAGACTTGGGCAACTTGGTAGTATCTAAGTCTTCGTGGTTCCTTTAAGTGGCATCACAGCTGAAAGATGTCACGTCTGAACATTTTTTTTTCAACATAGCAAATATTATATTAGGATACAGTAATGGATAAACGTCGGGTTTTAACATATTCCGGAGCATCCACTATTCACGAGCGATCTTCCCCTTTGTCAGTTAATCCGGAGGAGTTGCACATTATGTCGACGGAGATTTTTTGCTTACCCGACTTTTCTGAATTTCCACTGGTAGGTGTCACTCCACCTCACTGGTTTGGCACCCGGAGCTGATTCATATGATAGATGAGTAGGAAGGAGCCATAGCTTATCGTTGGATTTCAGGTATTTCCGATCACTTGGGTGGATAATGTCAACTTCTGTATCTAACGAATGCGTCTACTTTTCGGCAGATCGTTTTTTTTCTACGGGATGCACTTGTAATGACAAGGCATATACTTCGGGCCAAAACCGGATCGCATCCTAGAAACCCCATAAACTTTTTCTTAGATCCGGTTTCCGCACATGCAGGCGTCAGTTACAGTAAGCTAGACACAAACCAATACTGTGCCATAAGGCTTCGTTTTCACACAAACCAGTGGTTTGTGTTGTCTGTTTTGGATCCTTTCATCCTCATTTAGGTTGTTGGAATCTATGGGTATCCGTAATCCGTTCCACGAATGCAGCACGAAGTCTAGGTTTGCGGTTTCATCTCATACTGGTATAACTGGTCTACATGGGGCTGCTTCAGTCATCCGCTCAACATCCCTGTTTTTCCGTCTTTTTTTACAGCGTACACTCAATCTCACTTCTGAGGCTGATCCAATGGCACCGGATCCTGACAGACAATGCATTGTTTCACTGAGTTATCGACTGGGCGAGTGAGTTAACTGTGTTTGGAGACGCGACTATGGTAATCTAATCCTGGCTGTATTAATAACCTGTTTACTATTTCTTGGACCTCAAAACGGGTTTTTTGCTTTCTCAGCATTCTAGAAACCTATCCAAACTTTGTTTGTGGTATTGTTTCCAAGTTGCTGATCGATGGGGATAACGCACCACTCTACCGAGCACTCATCGAGTCCGGATACGGTCTGGATTGGGCTGGTGGAATTAGCGGTGTGGACCAGTCAACCCGAACTACCAGTTTCCACGTGGGCGTCCAGGGTGTCAAGTGTGACGAGTTGAATGACTTCTCTGGCCGGACGCGTGAAGTATTCACGAAAGTGGTTCGGTGAGTTCAACTAGATATGATATTTCTATCACAGTACCATGGGTTTAACTTATCACAACTCACTTGGTGTTTGAATTTTAGCGCACACAATGCCGATAAATTCTGTTACTATCGAAACAACTATTTTTTTCTGACTGGTGTGGTTAGAAATCCACCGAAAAATATCCCCATTGCATTTTATTTTGAACGCTTTTTCCGCCAGTTTCGCTAACTAGTTTATGGGAATTTTATACAGGCTCGCATCCGTGTACATAAACTGCGAACGTCATTCTTTCATATTGTCCGGACTGTTGCTGATAAACACCACTTACCGAGTGCTACAAAGTGCTACCTTACAACTTAGCTTCAGCTGACAAAAAATGAATTTCCTGTATGTGTAATTGGCGTCATTGTGATCTGTTCGCATAGCTATTGGTATTTAAAGATTAGTGTGAGCGATCGTTTTAACCTAGATTCTACTGTGGCTCTGGCTTGTGATATAGTTCCGCAGGGGCCCTGGACTCACTTGGGCCGATGTTCACTATATCGGGGTATTTCTTCTGTTCCGTGCGTCTGGTCGCTTTCCATGACCCTGGTATTACTCTTCGTTGTTTGGTTGATCATACATAGAAATATCAAGAGGGGAACTGAACGCCACCATTGACTCATCAGCTACTTCGCTCCTACTAGGTAAGATGTCTTCGGGTTCGATAGCCAAATTCTTAGTCGCTGCGCCACTTTACGTAGCAAGGCAGGACGATGACTTTACTACGTTTTGACGGTCATCCCTATGTCATCCAAGCGGAAATGTTGAGTGGGTTTGGTATAGATGCATAGGATTATATGTGATCCCACCACTTGTATTATCTAAACCTGTCCTTATATGAGGCCCCAGTTCTTGTGATTCTACCTCTGAGTCAGTGAAATTCGTTTGCTTCTGTTTGGTTGTTTTCTTACTGAATAGTTTCACAGTGTCATCCAGTGGTTACGTCATAACAGCACATTTACTACATGTGATCGGCATTTAAATACCAACGTTGCTATAGCCTCTTAGTTTGTATGCGTTACATTAACTGATGTTCCAAAGACGTTTGGTGACATACCCAGTGTAAGCGTTAATCAATAGATTAACCCAATTATGTACCAAGGCAATTATTCTCCTTTTGCGATGTATTTTCACCTACCAGGTTCTTCTCTGGGCGAATGATGATTCGTTTTTTTTTGCAGTGACGGATTTCCGAAAGAACGCGTTGAAGCTTTTCTGCATCAGTACGAACTCGCTGTCCGTCACGAGTCGGCTCGTTTCGGTCTGAATTTAATCTTTGGTCTAGCTCACAGCCTTAATCATGACGCGGATCTTCTGGAAATGTTGCAAATCGAGAAAATAATTCAGCGGTTCCGTGCAGATCTTGAAGCAAGGCCAACCATGCTGCAGGACATTGTTCAGCAGTACTTTCTGGTGAGGAGGAGAGTGATGACCACATTCCATTCAACTGATAACTTTTACCACTACAGAAAGCCATTTCTCCCCAGGGTTGAACTCATGTTCATTCTTGAGTTGAAGGCCAAGCGGTTTGAGTCCATCTTTGGCTTTTTGGATGGCGACAGCACCTTCTTTGCGTGATAGACAGTCAATAGCTGCCAGATTTGCTAAAGCTGAACAATTCCCGTCCCTTTCGGCAGTCAATTGTGGTGTAGATGTGTAAAGGAAAGCGAGCTAACAGATCGAAACAAAGGGGAGAGTGCGAATTTAGCGAAGTACACTCATTTGAACACTAACTTGGTGCGTGAATTATGGATTAATTTTTCGTTTGTGGTATTCTTCAACTGTGTGTGCTGCACGTAGGCACGTAAGGGATGTCGCAGTATATTTTTTAGCAGAACATCGCTCATAAGGTTGAATTTTTTCAACAGCCTCATGAGTAGTGCAATTTATCGAGAAAAGTGTTGATTTGTTCAGGGCTCCTAGTTGCTGGACGGACGGTCGGTTTGCCCTTGTCCGCGTTGCCAAAAATACGAGGATAAAAGCTGTAACGTACGAATGTTTTTCTCATGCGAATTTTAATGGCGTGATCAAAGGTATTTGGAGGCAGGCGTTCTGAAAAACCGATTGCGAATCTAAAACCAGGATGGAATGGAAGCCGCTCCAAACTGATGTTTAGCTCTAGGCATAGGTTGTATCGCTATCATGTACTGTTCGGGACTTCTAAATCAGCGTCTTTAATCGGTGGATTCAGGAGAGTAATCCATTAGTACAATATCATAGATTTTGCAAAGCTCGACAAGAACCGATTAGAGAAAGTCACTGGCTGGAGGACGCTTTGAGTTCTGCATTGGGGTTGGGGTGAGTGCCAGCTTCGAGACCGTTGTCACTCCTGGAGGAAGACTGCTATAATAATAATCGATCGACATTTCTGCACTTGACACTTCATTATGACTGATTCGTTCCAAACAACAGGTGGTAGTTGTTATCTCCCTAGCTTTACGTGTGCTTGGCCCTATCCATTGTCTTTCTATTTTCGTGAAATCCTTTGAAAATTCGCTACTTTTCACAGGATAACAAGCACTCGCTACTGACAACAATGCAGCCAGACGAATCGTGGAAGGTTGAACAAGCAAAGCGAAGCAAGATGCTTCTTTCAAAGCTTACCGAAGGCCTGACTGACGCAGATCGTCAGGTGTGGGCACAAAAAAGTGAGTTTTTTTCAACCGTCGATGTGCTACGTGTCCAAAATTTTAACTTCACTATTAGATAATGAGTCAGTTCTGTGAGATTTATATGGAATTTGATGATAAATCAGCATGGGTAACTTTTCCGAGCACTAGTTGGTTGTTTCTCTGAAGGCATACGACCGCGTACAATTCCGAGCTACCAGAATTTCGAAGTCGCTGGATTGAACTGCCGATCTGGCTACCGAACCAAGAGTTGATTTCAGTGCACAACCCGATGTATATCCCGACAAATACTTTCAGTTGCACCCAAATTCGGTTTTGATGGGGGATTTCAATGAAGCCGGTCGTGGGTTTTTGCAACCTTATGAGTAGTGCGTTACGTCTAGACAACAGCTGATGCATATCTCTTCGCACGTTGCGTGTCACTCAGTTTCAGGTCTTCGGTCAGCGTCGCCTGGCTTAGCTGGCCTGCCGAACCGGTTCGCCGCGATGTGGACGCTGTCACAGTTGAAGCAACAAACGAGAGTTGGATGCCAGGAAAGTATCAGTGGCGGATTACTGACACTCATAATTCACGGGTGCTTACGCTACACCGTTTGACTTAGTGATCAAACTAACCAGATGAGAAGACATCCAAACTCAGCAGGACTATTGTTTACGTATTTGCTTCTATGTGGAGATGAAATTGGCTGTATATCCACTGGATGATAGCGGTTTCGTGTTCAGTGTTTTTTGACTAGATCTCTGCTTTCTTGGACCTCACGAAGGATTCCTCATGAGGAGAATTATTTGCAGGCAGGGTGCCAGCCCATGTGGGTGTAGACCACGTTGCGATGCTATTCCAGCCAGGGTGGTTACTGAGAAATTACCCTTTGTTAGATGGCTCAAGTGGTTAGAACGCGAATTTACTGACCGGAAGCTCCGTGGTTCGAACCCGACCTCGGCCTGTCGACTCCCCCTGCCCAGGCTTGGGCAGCCTGGCAGTATCCCAGCCCTCGTGCTTCCTTCGGGTGGCATGGCAGCTAGGCACCGGAAGGGTGTTACAGCTGAACAATCTTTTTTCGACCCTTTTTTAGCGGATCTCGGTGCGGAAATTGGTAGAATTTAATTTTCGAAGACGAAAATTCACATAGCCATTCGAATGACATTCGTAGTAGGATTCTTCTCGCGAATAAATATATCACCAGATGGTTTAGAACGAAATAAACTCAGGATAGGACTGATGCAATAGATGTAACACAAAAACTGTAAGCGAAGATGGTTATCTGCTGTCACCACTTTCCGGCGGAATAAGTACTGAAACTTCCTCGCTTTGTAATGAGCACGTGCGTCCATAGAGGAATAAGAAAATGCTTTGTCGCACCTTTGTACCCCCTCAGAGTTGTGAGTTTCCTGATTTTCAAATTGGATACGATTGGCCGTTTAATTGTGGTGATCCTGAAGTACTTTTCCTGTCGTCGTAATGGACAGCAATAAATCTTCACCGCTGATCTGCTAACACATGCTCCTTTCCGCGGTATTTGGAAGATCGCTTGATCTGGCAAAGGGTTACGGTGGTCTGCTGTATTTCGTTCGGATGTGGACGAATGCCTCATAAGTTCAATTATAGGTAGTCTTTGACGTCTGGTTAATGGCGCACTGGTTATGTTGCTACCATGCTTCATGCCGTTAACAATGTGCACCTCTTAGGAGTTTCTAGCTGCGTCAAGACCACACCGTGACTTTGTTTCCAGTTGTTTTGGAAGGCGTGTTCCTATGATGAATTTAGTATTCGCCCAACGATACGATTTCGTGCAGTTTGAACTCTGGATCATAGTACTTATGCCGTGAAACTGTAACAGCGTTTTGTATGTTCTCGTCTACCAGTTTGTCACGTGTTTGCGTGCCTACCAGAAAACTGCTTAGGGTTTAATGGACGAGAAACGTTATACTACGATGCACAAAACCCACTGAATTTTGGAACACCTGTTAAACCGAGATTTCCTCTGCACCTTACACTTCCATCATTTGTATCTTTTTCGCAGGCCAAAAATTGCTCGAACAACAACAGTTGGAGGAAGACCTTTCCTCTCTACCTTGCCTGAGCCTTTTGGACATCCCAATGGAGTGTCGTCCGGAACCTTTCACTATGACACAGAGTAATGGGTAGTATTTTTCTGATAACTGTACTCTCGTCGATATCTATGATGCAAACCTTGATTTACTCAGTGGCGTGCGCGCATAACTTTAAACTTCGCTGTCTTTGGTTTCCGAGCTAGCTGGTATACGTACAGGACACTTAGCCCATTACATACGGGGTCCTCATGTTTACAATCCCCCGAAATAATGCCACCCCTCACCGCTCACGTCGATTATCGAGGTTTGTGTTAACATGATCACCAAATTCAGTATTTCGCTTCTGCATTCAACAATCTGTATGTTATATATCGAATAAAGCCTTTACGTCACAGCGTAGATGCTAATGGGAAGCATGATTTTTACATTCTCAGCTCTTCATCACCTTTTGATATACCGTCGTACAGCTAGGACTTTTTTACCTTTGAAGTCACGGTCTGCATGGCGTGATAGCTTGATTGTGTAAAATTGCGGGTATCACTCTCTTTGATTGTGATTTCATTTACCCTTAGCCGACGGATGTTCAGTTCAGCTAAATGAAGCCCCTACCAACGGGATCGTCTATTTTCACGGATTGGCCGATTTATGCAGCCTTCCAACGGACTTGCTAATCTATGTGCCCCTCTTTTGTACTCTCTTTCCCAGGTTAGTCTTTTTTTGCCTTCGTGCTTGGATGATATTAAGTAGCGAGTCTAGTGGGTTTGTGTTATGCATACCATTAAGTTGGATTGGTCGTTTTGGCGTCTTGCGTTGTCCGATTTCCGGCAGATAACTCGGCTCTATCGCACATGCTTGTTTGACCGTGCCTGTCGGGACATGTGAGTTCACTCAAGTGTAGTATTGTGCACTGGTGATGTAGATAGTTGAGACAGAATCCCAGCTTAGTCTTGCGAAGTTAATGGGTCAAAAATGAAGCACACGTTCTATTTAGTTGACCCTCCGTGAAAATCTGTTCATTCTTCGCTCCCCCCCTCTTCCTT